TATATATATATATATATATATATTAGTATTCCAAGATATTATACAGAAACAAAAGAGAGCATTTAATTAAAGCCGGAATCACCTCACAGAGAAATAATACACTCACACACACATATATATATATATATATATAGTGTGTGCATTTGTATGTAATAAAATATTTCAGAATTTAAAAATCACATATAAAGGAAAGATGAAAAGCCCAACAAAGTTATGGTTCAGCCCGTAGCTGATTATATCAAGCAGGCTGAATCACATTGGGCCAAATGAGGCCCACATGATACTGTCTTTACCACAAACGTTGTTTTTGACCAAAGGAACTCTTTACTTCCCTTTCTGCCGAAGACAGATTAATTGATGGCCATTTATAGAAAGACAGAGGAACAAGCTCCAACAAATCTCCTTGATACGCTTAACAAATTACGATATTGCCACCCAAAAAAAAAAGAAAAAAAGAAAGGGAATCCCTGTAAGGGAAGAAGAGAAGAGAGAGTTTGTTGGGAACCAGGCAAAAGCAAAGTCCATCGAACAAAAGGGGGGGAGGAGAGGAAAGACATCACAACTCAACCTCACAAGGGGGCAAATACTCAGAAGCCAAAGAGAGAATCGCTGAAGAAGTCTTCCGGAGACTTGCGAGGAACATCAGGGGAAGAACCCTGTTCCTCTTGCAGAATGTCTTGTTGTAGCTGAAGAAGCTGCTGCTGCTCATACTCAAGCGGAGCAAGGTAATCATCATCATTGTTCAGCAGATCTGCCAACTCCAGCACGTTTCCAAGGAAGAGTTCTGATATGTCAGACACGTTTATTTCTCCTCCATTGACAACAGCCTCTCCTCCCCCCACCACATTCGCAGCAGCAGCAGCAGCAGTGTTTTCTTCCGCATTCTGTCGAGGATTCTTCTCCACCGTATTTGCAGTGCCACCACATTTACGCTTACACTGACGCATTTGTGCCCACATGTGATCGTTGCTCGAGGACTCTGCCGGACTCAGAGGAGGAGCAATGCCCCCAATGGAAGACTTCATCATCGGATTGGTGTTCTCCATAGACTCCGGAACTATTCCCCCGTCATGGGCAAAGGACCCTATCTGGTACATGGTCGTCACTGACATACCTAGTTCCTGGATAACATAATACCACAACAGCAATATCTAATGATGTGTATGACAGATATCCTTAGGCGAAGTATTCTTCTTTTCCAAAACTAAGCAGATGATATAACATGACATAATCCAGAGCACCACATTTTAGGGCACAAATTTCCCAGGAGGCAGGCCTAATTAGCTTATATACACTAGAGACCAACTGAATTGGTCCATTTTACTTAATATGAAGTTAAAAAAAAAGAGTATTCAGCCCCTACTGCCCAGAAAACCAAGAGGATGGAGATGGTCAGTGAAGACATGTGTGAAGGTAGTTTTGTTTTTTCTAAACCTCCAGAGGGCATTTCTGAGAATAGGGAACAGCAAGGCAGAATGCCTTTGGGTTCTTCTTTCACAAGTTTCAAAACAATCCAAAAGAGTCTTTTACGGATACTCCGGATTTTCAAGGGTGGCAAGCATCCCAAATGCAAGCGTAAGGCTATGCATGAGTCCACCAAAAACACAGATGGGAGTGATTAAATTCAGTATCAGAAGCTAACTTAAGCAAACTTTGATGCCCGTATGAGATATGAGGATATATAATAGTCAAGTGCAAAGAGATGAACCTGTACATGGGGCAAAATATTTGCCGCTGTAAGTCCAGTGATGTTCACATGCGGAAAGTTTTCATCCAGATGAGCTCCTGATTATTAAACGAAAATAAGGAAAAACAAATAATCGGATATTAACGATATTAATGAAGCGGACGCTTACAAGAAAAAATGAAAAATCATAAATGTTACCAATTTGGTTATTCGAACACATATACTAAGATTAAAAATATATATATATACCAGAAGAGGATGCTTCAGTGAAAAGGCATACATACACAAAAAAGGAACAGTTGAAAAATATACCAGAAGAGGATGCTTCAGTGAAAAGGCATACATACACAAAAAAGGAACAGTTGAGTTTTACGAGTAAGAACTGTTTCAACTTAAACTTTAACCTACCAAGATATCTCAGACACTCCAAAACAACTTACACAATGAAACAGTATATTCAATCTGTAGCACATCACCTACAAACTTAGAATAAGAACATAAATGGAGATAAAACAGAGATACTCACCATTGGGTCCAAGATCTCCAACATTTTGCGGGGATCTGTTTCCCAGCTCATCTGCATAAACCAGTTTAGGTAGCTTCTGAATTCCCAACTCAGGGTTACCACCATTTTCTTCATATGTATCCATCTCAACTTGTCTCTTTTTCTTATTGTAGTCTAGGTTGAGTTCATTTGCATGCAACGGAATCTGGGTTTCTTCTTTATATGATCGATGGAGATTAATTAAAAAGCCTGAATGTAAAACAAGAATGTAACAGGGATTAAGACAGAAAGGCTCACCATCAATTCCTAGAATGTGGATAGCATCTGGGGATCTATTTTGAATTTCATCCACACAAGAAGATTTCAGTATCTTCTGGTTTCTCAGCACATAATTATCACCTTCTCTGGGTATCTCTGTCCCTGATCTTTCTTTTCTCTTCTTGCCTTGGTTGACTTCATCTGCATAAAATAGAGTTGGGAGATTTTCATCTGATCAGTGGAGGATTCCTAGTACAAGACTGCAACGGGAGATGCTTACCTTCAGTTCCTAGGCCACAGACATATTGCACGGATCTGTTTTGCAGTTCATCTGCACAAATGAGTTTTGGCTTCTTCTGACAATTATCATCATTGACTTCTTTATGTTCTTCTGCCTCTGCCAGTTCGTTTCTCTTATTGTCTGTCATATGATCTTCGGCATGCAATGGAGGTTGAGAATCGTTACCTGATCCATTTTGCTTTGTTCGGCCTGCATCAAGTTGATTCAGAACACCCCGTCTGCTGCTGATTGTAATCTGCCAGAGGTGTTTCAAATCACCCATGACAAATGGCTTCACCAGATAATGTTTCGCACCTTTGAACATACAGCCTAAAGCGCTATTCACTTGCCCATCTGTACCCATAACTAAAACATACAGGGAAAGGAAGAGCAATGATTAATAACAAGCAACTTATTAACTGAGAAATAAACAAATAATGAAGCAGAAGAAGGTGATTTTGCTTACCAACAATCGGAAGTTTAGAGATCCCTGTTATTGTCTCAAGAAGCTCGTATTTGTCCATATCCGACAAGTGAGCCTCTGTCATGATAAGATCAATCTCTCCCTCTCTGTCCCTTAAGATATGCAGTGCATCAGAGGCTCTATCGGCAGTCACCACTGTGGGATGGAAAAATGGCCAATCCCAGAAAACAAACAATAGATGCAGTCAGAAACATGAGAAAGATGTGCTGCCTTTCTCAAAATGATTGCGTCAAATATTAGGTTCATTGGCTTACCCCTATATCCGGATTCCTGCAGCATATTAGAGATAACCATCAAACATGATGGATCACTATCCACGAGCAAGACACATATATCTTCCGGTGATCTCCCGGTGCTTTTGAGAGTTTTCCCAGAGAGATCCTCCTCAATGTTCATGATTAGTGCAAACAAACAAAACACAAACAATAGTACGGTGATGAAAAGCTCACAAGCTTTAGAGGACAAGAGAAAACAAAAGACTAATTGCACGACAATACTCGCAAGCACCTTTATATATGATAGGGCGGAGAAATCAAGAACGGGAATCCGGTGTTTAAATTTGGTAGGTGCAAAATTACAAGCATCTAAGTGATTCATATGCCAAATGTACAAATTTCTCAAAACAAAATCTGGCGCTGGATGCCTTTCATTAATACATTGACGAAATCACGAACAAATGCAATGAATAATTACAATTATGTAACATAATAAAACATATTTCAGTAATATTATTAGTCTCATTAAAAACTACCATACAGGGAAAAGATAAGAAATGTAATGAATAATTACCTTTTAATGAGTTCACATACCTCACAAGGCAATGTGCCACCGACAGTTGTTGATTAGTCCAGGGCGTAAATCACCAAACAGAAACCGGATGATATGCTACATGACTAACAATCACATAAATCTAGACAGTATCTGATGACCCAAAGCGAGCAAATTCATCAGATACCACCCTGCAGGAGTATGCTTCTGAGGAAGTAGGAAAATGGATTAAAAACAATGCACTAAAGAAAAACCTTTACAAATCATTTATCAAAGAAGATGTTTAGAAGATGATTAAACAAAAGAAACACGCCAACGGTCTGATAGAGAGTTAGGCATTATATTTATGCAATAACTTGTACCCAAAATTAATTACATATACTTCTTGGCTACCACTTCACAAAAAAAAAAAAAACTACTTAGGTGCTCGAATTCAATATAACTTGAGACTAGGCAGAAAGCTTTACGCAACTACAAATTTGTAGGTGTCCAGAATCAACAATGACCTAGCCAAATAAAAGACGACGTCTTACAGACTTCGAAAGGTTTGAACTTGACTGACTCCTCTTTCCATTTGGCACCCTTTCAGCTGAATGGTTAGAGCCCTCTCCTGGATTTGCATGAGATTGTGCTTTTTTTGAGCGGTAAAAGTCAGTAATACTCTGTTGGACACCAATTGATCTTGGTGATCGCAATTCTGATTTCAAGCTCGGGACAGATTTACGTTTTGATTCTTGTAATTCCTGACAGTTCGAAGAATGCAGAAATGGAATTATGAGGCAGTTAAAAACCAAATATATCTGTCTGCATGAATCTATATTAATTATTCGTTTAAGGATTATAGCAAAACCATAAAACAACATGCTAATGTAGAAAAGCAATGACTAGAGAGAACCATACCTTCTCACGCAAAAAACAATCAGCTTCATCTGGGAAAGCATATTGAACGAGTCCTATGCATTCATCCGTTAACAAAAAGCAGTCACCACCATCATCATGAACCTGAGGTTCAGTTAAGCCATCCAATGGATCATTAGGCTCTTCATCGCCAATCACACTGTCTTGCAATACCTTTGTTTCTTCAGGCTGACAATCAATCATAATACTACCAGGCGTAGTAGATACATTTTTCCTCCACCTCACCACAAACGACTGATGTCCATATCTAGTTTTTATGCACTGGATAGAATGAAATTCATACTGGTCATATAGCAGTGGCTTTGAGGGGTTTCTTGCCCTTTCTCTCAGATACAGTGTCGACAACATCGGTAGCATCATTTTTCGAACATAAGACGGCTCCCACCGGAGTTTGAAAACCAAGAAATCCACTACCATTTCAGTATTGGGAGTTCCAAATGATATCGAACAGCCATCCTCTGCTTCATGAAAACAGTAAAGTACAGATAATGATCAACAAGGATACTCCAGCACGATCACTAAATTAACATGAAAAATAAAAACAAATTTTGCAAAAAGAAAGCCAATGAGAAGTTTTTTTGAGAAAACATTACATAGGCAAGGGAGCAGCCAAAGTGGACATAGCAAAATGTAAGATATCACACCTACCTGCTAAGTCCCTGGAATTACCACATAGATAAAGTTCAATAATCTGGTCGTTGGGGAATTTTGGCCCTAGGGTAATCTTATCACAGACTTTTATCCACAAATTCTCAATCTTCTTAAGCTCTTTCACATTACGATCCTGCTTTCAGGAGAGTCATGTCATTGCTACCATTAGAAGAATGTAGATGCCAGATTTATAACTGCATGTGGAGGATGGGCATTACCTCACAACAGAAGGAACATCCACATCTAAACCATGATGGTTTTTTAATGCAACCGCTACTACAACTGCAGTCCTCACAAGAAAACTTAAGATGAGTTCTCTTGTTACCAGGATGCCCACAGTAGGAGCAGTGAGAAGATCGTTTCATTTGCGATCTTCCATCCAATTGAGCTTCATCCCCATCTACAGATTTAATCTCACTGTGGAGTGAAGGTTTTAACCCCTTTCCGATGTCATGTAGCCTGCACAAAATATTTCAGCGGAAACAAGAATGATCTTCACAATATAACACTGAACAGGAGAAACACTGGCGCAACAAAAAACAGAACCAAGCATAAAATCAAACTTCTATATTTACCTTTCAAGTATCTCGTTTTCACAGAAATCCCGGACAAAGCACACTGCCGTATCGACACCAATCCCTTGAACACCACACAAATCATAGTCGTTTCCAACCAAGAGAGAAATGGCTATGAAGTGTTTCCGCTTCAGACCAAGGCCAGCTTCGATATCTGACATATGATAGCACTCGAAAGGCTCCTACACCCAATGAAAAGCAGACGCTCCAATAGCAGAAACAGGAACATATAAACTGAAAATGCCCAGCAACGAGAGTTTGGACACCAATGCACGGCTTTAAACTCACCCTTGAGTTAGGCTTGATGGATTTGATCACACATTTAGCCCCAAAGAGGAAGGCATCACTGTCAGGAGTGATGCAAGCATCAACATGTCCATCACTGTTTAGCTGTGCACAGAGGGCTTCAGCCTCGCCTTTGGCTTGTATTACCGGCATGCCAAGCAGTTCAAGTAGTTCCTACAAAACCAAAAATCAGCAAAACACTAAACAAGCATCGAAAAAGAATAACAAAAGATCACCAATCAGAACTGGAATCTAACTCACCACACACTCCCTCACACATTCTGAAAACACCTTATTTCTCTCAACCGAGACACCCTCTACAATCACAGGCAAGTTGGGAACATCGATTCCAGAACACCGGAAAAATCGTGCTATTCTTGCCGGAGATTTCAAGGGCGAAGGTGTTCCATCGACCACAAAGACTGGGTACGCTCCAAACTGCAAGATCATCGGCAACATTATCGTCACCATCAACAAGTATTCTTGACAAACAAAACATGAAATCCGGGAAGACGAAAAGAAAAAACCGTACTTTTAAGCCAAGAAAACAGAACCAAAGGAAGCAACTGTGAAAGAAAATTCCATTGTTAAAAAAAAAACAAAAAAAAAGAGAAGGAAAAGGAGGACCTTGGAGAAAAGGTTGATGGTACGGAAGAAAGTGAGCCTGAGATGAGGCTTGCGGACAAAACCCTTAACGGCGGTGGCATGCTGGACGATCCAGAAGGAAAGATCAACCGCAACGCGTTTATCTCTGAGGGAATCAAGCCCTTCGTGTCGCGCGTAGGGTTTTAGAAAATCCCAGAACTTTCCTCCGACACCCATCGATTCCCGTACAAACTGAAGCCAACGAGGACTCGTGGAATACTTACCGTTAGAGACAGAGAGACGATGCGATGAATGATGATCCACTTTGATCACCCGCCAGGGTGCGGGCCCCGACAACCTTTCCTTCACTTCAGCCCACCACTCTTAAGCCCAATAATCTGCACCCACCCACCAAGGTCAAAACTACAATTACTTTAGATAAGGAAATAATCTTATAAAATAATAAAAAGTAGAAACCCAACTAACTTTAAGAGGGAGATAGAATTATATTATTAAAAAAGCATATTTAATTTTGTCAGAAGAAAAAAGCAAATGGTTTTGAAATTTAAATAAATTGTTTACAAGGGCCACGACTCCTGATAGTATACTCTCTAGTATCTATAGTTTCATTAACAGTGGTCGTCACTGAGTCTCCAACAAAATCAAATAACTAACCTTCCTAAGATCCAGCCGATCAAATCTCCCCTTAATATTAATTATTAAATAATACCTATGATTTTTTTTTTAAAAACCTCTAAAAATCTCACAAGCCGAAACATCCAGGCTTCCGCGTATTTTGTCTCATTCACTTCCCCAAGTTCCAACTAACTGAAAATTTTAATCCCAGTCCAGAGACCCCCTTTGTCTCTTTCTCACTCTTGTGATCATCTGGAGATCTCCATCAAGAAGCTACCACTCTCCTTCTGGCCACCTCTCTCTACAAACACACACTCATATATATATAACGCTCCTAAACACTTCACTCTCCCCACTTCCCTCTTCTTACACCTTATCTCTCGTTCTGTCTGATACATTTGTCTGTTCAAGACGACGTCACTTTCTATGTCTGTTCAGACTATTTCCAGTTCAGAAGCGTACCTGAGTCACCAAAGAGCACGTTTTGGAATGGAACGTGGGGCAAGATTGCTCAAAGACTGCCTCTTGGAAGATTCGAACTCATGCTCCTCCAACGGGTTCAAATCATTTCCTAGACAGCCTCTCCTCCAGCCATTCCCCATCAAACCCAAGAAAGAAGAATCAAAGGCAATCCACAGGAAGACTTTGCAGGCGGTCATTAACGCCATCAAGAGCCTCCGTTTCACCGCCGTTAAATCTGCCCCCTCCATCTTACCAAGGAGCCTTTCACGTAGGTTGTCCAAGAAGAACGGCAGTAACAAAGTTAACCAGGCTGATATAGCCGTCCGAGTCAAAGACATCGTGCGTTGGAGATCATCCAGGGACTTGCACCAGGACGTATCACCACCGTCCGATTTCGAACCGTCCACGGTGAATACAACCACGACTGGCTCAACCACAAGCGGCACGCCTTGTAGCAGTTGGTGTGACTCGGATTTTACTTTGGAGTATCTGCCGTCCTGGGGAGGTAAATTAGAGGACTTGGGTGAAAAGGACGTTGGAAAAGAGAACTGCGAGATCGGTAAGGAGGATTTACAGTGTGTCGGCGAAGATTCTTCCACGGAGACAACGGCAGCAATAGTAGCCGACACTAACACTCAAGTGGGACCTGAGGTAAGAAACCGATGAATCATAACAATAATAATAAATTTAATAAAAGATCCAATCTTGGGGTTGACTTTGCTTCAACCGTACGGTCGACCATAATGCACGTGCAGCTGTTTATTTCTCTTTCACGTGTAGACAAAACACTGCCCACTTGGTTGGTTTCTGTTAAGTCATGGCCCTTGTAGGGGAGTAGACGCTACTCGTCCTGCATCGCCATAAACACATTTATTTATTATAATATTACACGCATTATTATTTTTTTGATAAAAATATTACACGCATTATTGTACTTCAACATAGATGGATTTGTCGCTATTTACTTACAGGATGCTGAAATTAGTAAGGGTATGTTTAGTTTTAAAAAAAAAAAGTAACTGCATGCACAAAAGAGATATTTACAACAAATTTATGTTCTATTTCCAATAATATACACCTTTTATCAATTCCTTCATGAAACCGATTTAAGACGTAGCTATTAGGCATCCCAAGAACAATAGACGGAAAACATGATATATTATTACCCAACATGCTAGTTTTGCTATGGATCAAACCGAAAGCACGAAAATGGGTCTTCAACCATGCCTGAGATGAGATGCTTGATAATAAATTGAAATATTATGATGTATCTGAGACTAATATGCAGTAATTACTCATGAATGATTAGGAGGACTTACAATGTGATGGGGACACTGACCACAACAGCCCGGTTTCAGTTCTTGAGGTTGAATACGAGGAGGATGACGGCGGAGCATCGGACGCTTCTCTCGGTCAGTGCCTTGACAATGTAGAAAGTGCGCAACATTCCCTTCTTTCCAATCAACAATGGCTTCTGACTTGCTTTTCCGGCTTTTGAGAGCTAATCATTCACGCAAAAAACTAACTTTATTCACACATTGGCAGGAACTAAACAAAAGCTTATGCAAACGATCAAACGGTTTGAGACTTTGGCTAAGATCACTCCTTTCAATTTAGACGAATGGGAATCAATTGATGAAGACTCTTGCAATGGAAGGGCAGAAGAAGATATTAGCTATAATGGTGACACTTGCAATAGTCTTGACAGTGGAACTGAAGACGAAGAAGAAGCAGGAGAGGTTGAAGAGAAGGCACACCAGCTGTGGAGCCAAGTCAAGGAGGGGTGTGCAATATGGATTCACGAAGAACGTCTGATAATGGACTTTTTCAGAGATGAAGTGATGAAAAGACTGTGCTTACACCATGAAACCTATGGAGATCGAGAATTTGAGAACCAGTTGGTGGGCAAAGCAAAGGAATGGATGCGTGGGGAGAGACTCACGGAGATTGAACATGGATCGATTGAGCAGAGGAGAAAGGCATGTCTTAGGGAAATCGAAAGAGGAGATTGGAACGGGAAACAGGTGAAGGAAGAGGGTGAGGAGGTGGCTGTGGGGATTGAGGATGGGCTTTTGGATTTGCTAATCGATGAAATGCTAACTGAGCTCTACCAATGGTGATTCCATTCCCCTGAAATATGGGAAAAGCTTTGATTCTACTCACCAGATGAACAGGAGCAAACTCAAACCACACTGTTCTTGAAGAGCTTCTAAAGCATAAGCTGGGGCTACCATGGCCAAGAAATCTGCAAACGGAGATAAAAACATCTATGAACCTCATTCATGTTCTGGAAGCTTTAGCATAGATGTCGGCAAGCAGGAACAATTTTGCTTAGGGCATGACTCATGCCCATGTTTTACTCTAGCTTTCTCGGAGGAATAAAACAATGTACATTTACTTTGTCATTTCGATGTGGCAAGCAGAAACAAATTTTGATTAGAGCATAGCTTATGCTCCTGTTTTGCCCTAATTTGCTCTTCCATGGCTATTACATACGAGAGCACTAGTCTCCTTGTACTCCCGTCTCAGTGCCAGGCCGCAAGAAACAAAAACCACAAATCCAGCAAACAAACCAGACAGAAACCGTAGCAAGTTCTGGGAACACCAACCGATATTCGAAAACCCATTTTCAGAGACAAGGACAACAATCGTCCCACGTCGGAACTATGCAGTGAGAACCAAAGAACGTGTGGGTATGGAAGACGAGAATCGACGTATAGAAGCAGGAAGAAAAGAAGTCTACATCCAGAGTGCCATAGGATTCATCTCAGAAACAATCATCAGCAAAGAGAACCTCTTACGCAGCTGCTCAAACTAAAACCCAAATCAATATCAATCAATTGCGAAGCTAGGAACAGCCATTACAAATGAAACTTGATCAGCATCTACCAGCGACACATTAATCGCGAAAAACTTGCATACCTGAAAGTTCAGAGATAACATCCTGATCAAAGATTACAGGCGCCGGAAGACGTAAGCGATGCCAGAAAATACGAATCTCCAAAGCATCCAGGAAAAGAAAGTTCAGAAAGAAGAAGAGTCAGAGAAGGGATCAACAAAGAATGGGCGACGGGAAAAAATAACTCGCCGGGAAGATACAACCGACGCCGGGAAAAAAAAAAGAATACGAGTACCAAATGGCAGAAAACGGAGACTGAAAATGAGCGGGAGGGAAAAGTTTGATATGTTCCCGCCTTTTTTCCAGCCGGTGCCGATCTGACATTTGGAGCACAAAGCGTGCGTCCTACACGTGTCAAATAACTTGGTTTTTAAAAAATCCTTAATTGGGCCGAACAGCCCAAAGAACTAAACAATGGCCCATAACTTTTAACGACTCCCTCATCAATGACATTTTTTTCTTCTTCAAAGATCGAACGAGTCTCTTATTACCGCTCCTAGTCAATCTCTCGTTCGTTTCTTTGAAAACCAAACACTATCAGTACACCTATACTGGAGCTATCAAAGTGTCTAGATTCTGGTTTATTCAGGCATAATAACGTGGGCGTTCAAATAATACGTGAAGCAGTTGGATGGAACAAAGTCAGAGGGGTAGAGAGAGAGCTAAATGGAGAGCATGCTCAGCTTCTTTCAAGAAGAATCCTGTGAGCTCCTTTTGTCCCTTACGGTACACTGCACACCCCCACTTGTTCCGGCTCATCCCTTCTCCCCCTCTGCCACCAAAATCTCTCATTTATCTCAAGCTACACTCTCCTGATTTATATATACATGTAGATATGCCGTCTACCAAACCCTTAGGGTTGTTTCTTACCTTGAACCAGTTTGCTCTTTGGGGCTGTCAGAGACACATGCCTTGTCAAGCAGCTCTTCTGACCCGGAGTTCTCTTCTAGATCCATCATCCTGCATAAACGTTCGCAGTGTTCACGACTAATTCTAAACCCCCGACTCGTGCTGGTTCACATATTAGCATCTGATTGCTTACTTTGCATTAAGGAGATCCACAAGTAACTGCAAAGCTCCAGAATCCCCACAACCTTCCCATACAGCTACCCTGACTTCGTTTTCAGAAGCTTGTTCATCAGGTCTCGACTCAACAAGCTCCAACATTAAAGAAAGGAGAGCGTATCAGTAATCAAACGATGCATCACAACTAAATCAGCTGGCGACATAGAAGGTCACCTCATTTGACCTCTATTTTTCCACACCATTTACAAATTAGTGTATTGTTATTTTATAACATGCTTCTGTGTCACAGGTCAGCTTCCATATGGGGAGATACACTGTTGAATGTCTCAAATTTCTCCGACTTAAATTTCATAACATGCTTCTGCGTTATTGCCCAATATAAACAAAGGCAGACCAGGATTTTGTTTAAGTTAATAAGATACCGGGAGAAGTGAGAGGAAAATCTTACCTCCTCAAGCATCGCTGAGACTTTGAAAATCTCATCTTCTTGCATGGATATCGTCCTCAAGGCTGCCATAAAGTCTTCTGGGAATACTAACTTATTCAGATATGTGGGTGTCTGACGCTTGCCAGACCAACTGAAATTACAGGGCTGTTCTCTTTTGCTCACATCAGTTTCCCGAAGCTTTGATGTGACTTTTGGGAAGAACCCATGATCAAGCAGTGATTTAGGTAAGAGACATCGTAGCTGAGCTTTCTGTGAAGCGAGTTTCACAGATAGACTATTAGAAATTGAAAATACATGGATAGTGGAGATATATCCTTGATATGAAACGAGACCATATTAGACCGAAACCAGTTCTGACAAGTTGACTTGAAAAACTCATTTAAGAGTATAAGCTAGCTTGTAAGAACTAAGAAGATGAACTTCAATGTGTATAAATCTTCAACTAACCCAATATCCACTCAGTATTCAACCATAACACAAGATTGTATAAGATAGTGTTACGAATACTACTGCACCTGAGCTTCAAGAAGCTGCCCCTTGGAATCAGAAAAGGGGATGCTCTTAAGCGCCTCCACCGGATAATGCACCTGAATACATGCAATGTTATTACACCTAATAATGAAATTGATGTGCATCTTCTTCGAAAGTATCGCAAGTAGAGAAAGATGATGTCTAAAAATGAACCCTACCATGAGATAGTCATCTGGGTTATTCTCTATGACAAATCCATACAGGTAGAGTAGCTCCTGCATACAGCAAGGAGGAGAGATCTCACCCAAACAGAAGACTAAATGTAGATAATCACAAATGCACATACAGAGGATGGAAAATTTTAATGAGAAGGGTGAGCATTCAATTCATTTTGCTTTCTCATTCGGCTGTAGAATACTACAAGTACAAGGAAATATGTGTAATAGCCTGAGATGCGAAAATATGATTATTTACCTCATTTCCTTTGTTACCATAACTAATGGTGATCTCCTTGTTCAGCGTAGGATGTTGTTCAACTATTCAAATTACAGAAGCATAATAATAGTATTACATATAAGACCATGGAAAAGAAAAAAGAAAGCTATAAATAAGAGACAGAGGCGGGTCCATCGTTTCTTAGTAGATATCCTGAACGTGAGGATCCGAGCACAAACAAAGAATTGCTAACCAGAGAGAAGGTACATGGAGAAAGGAACTCCAGATACTGATCCTGTTCCATCAACTTCCCAAGTTGCCACTGGCTTCAAATCTGTACTGCCATAACCACATCATATCAACTCAAATTTATCAACTATATCAACCAAATGGACAGGACTGTGTGAATTTGAAAATAAGATATTTTTTCTATAGAAAAATTACCATACCATGATTGCAAAAGTCAATGCCGGGGACAAGTCCCTCAACCCACACAGTTTCTCCATGTGTTATGGACTCCTCCACTTGACTCTCTACCCATGAGTACGCAAACAGAACATTTACATGACAAAAAAATATCTAAATAAGAAAAAGGTGAAAAGAAAAGGCGTTGTAACCCGTCAACAAAAAACAATAAACTTGCCTTTTTCAGCCTTCACATTAGCTGATTCGGTTGCAGGTACACAACTGATTGATGAACAACTGCCTGGATCTTGCCGGCTTTGTGGAAACACATAAGAATGCGGAAGAGGGATGTTCAAGGCACGACTCCAGAATACAGAATTTGCCCTGACACAACAGAAATGGTCTCAGGATAGTCACCCGCCCTTTAAAAAACACTTCACCAAAATGATTGATAGAGGATATAAAACCACTAGCCAACAGACATACCACAGGAAAGAATCAAAGCACACCTCGCTGCAAAGAGAAGACAAGTAAAATATGTTTAGCTCACCATCCATTGACTAAGATATTTTCTGAATGTAGTATCGAATGTGCTCGAGTCTATTTACCTTTCAGACCCGCCATCGAGAATAAGAAGTCTTTTCACCAAGCCCTCCACCTTCTCATTATAAAGGGACATCAACATCTTCTTCTGAAAAGGAAAAATTTGTCAAACATAAAGGAATTCGTGACTATAGGCTTTCAAACAATTAACATATTTGTAACGGATGAGAAAGAAAATCATAATGTGGATCTTATATCCACTAAAAGGATTACCATTGATAAAGATGACTATTTCTATTTTGGTGCAGGGCTGCTAACTGTATACCCCATGCACGACAGTGGACTTAATTTTAGTATAAACCTAGACTATTTACCTGTAACTCAGTTGCACGATACAAGTTCGTTCCCTTCAGCTCAGACATCTCATCATCAGTGAACCAAAGAGGATTGCCAAATCGGGTGGGAAGCATATCAAGGTACCTATCACATACTTTCTCGGCAAATTAATCCTATTAACCTTACATTCACAAGTACTAAAGCACCAAAGCAAAGCTCTGCCAAGAGGCGCAAACTTACGGCTTCCACGAAGAGTTCTTACGAAGCCGCTCCACCATGAGGAACAAAATCATCAAAAACCTGTCATCTACTTCTCCTTCTTCGAACATTTTCTGACACTCTGGACCCAAGAGAGGGTCTTGCAAAACCCTCATAGGGGTAATGGCCAAATCAAGAGGAACAACCAGCAAAGAACCTGAAATTTTTCAGATCTGGACCAGAATTCAACCCATTCTCCCACAGAACCAAAGCACAACAACCCAAAAGAAGCTAAAGGAAACAAAACGATAGACATCAAACTATCGTACATGGGCTTCCCATGTATGCGTACATGCAAAGACAAACTGAAACTTGACACCAAGGCGAAACATGAATAGAAATTACCGTCAGAAGTCTCACTGGAGGCAAAGATGCCGAATCCTTTTCTGGGTTCAGAGTACTTGATGTTGCAGCCTCGCAATTCAACTCCATTCACCTGAGTTGCAGACAAAAAGTCATCAATTGAGATGCAAAGAACACAAAAATAAAAAATGTAGACAGATCACGTGTAATGAAAAAGAAAAAAAGGAGATACGAAAGCCACGAGGGGAGGGAGATGATCATATGATAGGAACGGAGGATCGATTCAAATAAATTGTATGGATAAACCAGGAAAGCAACAATGTGGAGAAGAATAGAACCTGAAGCCAATCGAGGAATAGTTCCAATTTAGCGTCTTCTTCGGCTATCGCCATAGTTTTTGTTGAATCGTATGGACGGAGAAGACGAAGCACGGAGAATAGGGGTTTAAGGGAACATCGCAGACTCAGAGTAGAGGGGGTTTACAGCCAATGAGCCAAACACGCCCTTACAACAGGATGTGAAAAACGATGTCGTTTTAGCTTAGAATATGAATTCACACCTTTATTCATTAGCATAAGGCCTCATATCTGATGGGCCTTTGAATCCATAATGGGCTTATTACGGAATAGCCTTTGACCTTCGGGAGTAATCAATCATGTAATGTTGCTTGATTTTTTTAATTAAATACTCGAATATATATTTTTTTTATGAATTGAATCGCTAATATCGACAGTTGAAAATACAACGGATCATGTAAAAAAACAAAAGGGTAAGAGAATACGTAAACTAGAGGGAAAAGGAAAGCATGGTAAAGACAGACGACCACGACCAATCCAAGTGGAGTTGATTGTATTTTTATTTTTTTACCGGACGAATGACATCACATAACAATCAGCCATCCCCGCAATTGAGATTACAGTGTAAAAAGTAATAATATATATATATATATATATATATATATATATGTGCGTGTATGAAGTAATTCGTAAACATAAATCGACCGATAACTATATGCACCCGTTCATATAAATTCAACATGACGTTGGGCCAACTAACTTCTACAATAATGACAGGAAGAAGAATTGTCATTTTACATTTTTTGAGGAAGAAATTATTTTGGAAGGAAAAAAGGAAAGTGACAGTTTATGGTTTGGTCATTGACGTCGAAACGCCTACATATATATCTAATCCAAGCCTTTTCCTTCTCCATGTTGTTTATTATTATTATTTTTGTATGAGATTGGAACGTTGTTCTTTGGTCCTTTCAAGATCCGACATATCTAAGCGGATCTCTTCCTCCATCTTTGAAAGCTCACCGTCCTCAATCCGGGCAATATATCTTAATACGATAATTCTAAATTTGAATTACACTTTTGTTGGACAAAATTATGTATTTTATTTAATCTTTTGCTTCGGAAGGCAAAACGCCAGAATGTTTGTGACTGATTATTATGTACATATGAGTAAGTTCGGTTCCATAATCAGATTTTCCTTTATAATACTCCACCATGTATGAAATATATAAATGATTATTGCGCAGAACGGATGTTTACTGTCTGAGATATCGTCCGGTCCGAAGAGATGTGAGATGTTGTCCGGCCCAAAGGGAGAATATCCTGCACAAACTGCTCTTTTTTTTTTGTTTGTTAATTGTTTTATTCTATGGAAAACGTTGGAAATGCGAATACTTGTGACTCAGTTCGCAATGAAACTATACAAAGTGAGATAATAATTGGCATTCCACTAATAAAATAACATGACTGCTCCATTACCAACAAAAATTCACCGAAAAGATAATAGTCATTGACCTTTGGTATTACGAAAAGACGAAAGCTGGTACATGATATTACTAAATGAGTTAATGAACACGTGCTTGACGCGAAGGCAAATGGTCTCTGGACACGTCTGTCTCATCCATTGTGGCCTGTGGAATATTCACCGGATTTTCACTCGTCTTTCCGTTATTTTATTCGACTTATGAATGAGAGATATAGTAATTAATTAATGATATAATATAAGAGAGTGGAGGCGGGCATCTTGGAGAGTAAATTGGCTTTCACTCACATCTATCGTCCACTCCCACTTCATTTTCCGCATCTTCTGGTTTCCTTACCTTGGTAGATCAAATTTCTGCATCGCCAGACGTAAGTATCTTCTACTTCTTCCGACATCAACTATGATCATGTCCTTTATTCTGGTTATATATGCATGCATGCATGGGATATATTGTCTTGTACACAGAAAACGTTCGATTATCAGTCTAAATTCATTTCTCATGATCATCCTCTCTGCCGTAGAATTACCAATGGCTATATATGGAAATATATCCCTTTTCAAATCAAATATGAGTATGGATTTGGGATATCAAATTTACGCAAGTTCCGCGCATGTTTTTTTCCCGTGGAACGAGTGCAAAAGACATGCTTAATCAGCGTCTCCTCGTGAATATAATTTCCGACCATATGATTTGAAGGGCTGTCACCCAGGAAAAAAAAAGGGTATATTAAGCGGGCTCAGTTGGAGGTGGGCCCAACCGAAGGCTCTGTACTCTCTCCCTGGCCTGGAGCCTCTCTTTGAATGTTCTCCCTTCAACTGATTGCTCAAATTTCGCGCCTCTCACTCCCCAGAATCGTGACGGTTCCTAGCGTCTGCTATTATTCCACATATTCTTCGAATCAGAGTCCGATTCTGTGTCCTGGCTTAAGGAGGCTTTGATATCCGAGACTTTCCTGTTCTTCGTCTCGTGTATTCTCTAGCATTACTTGTTGTCTCTGGTAGTTCACTAACTTCACGCCCCCTTCCCGGTAATGTTTCTTTCAATTTTACACTTATCTTTCTGATTAGGGTTTAGTCTGCAATTCTAGTTGATGAGTGGGTCTCGGTGTTCCAAGAACTCAAATTCTTTCTATTCTCGAGCGGTGTTTCCTTCGTTTAGCAAAGAGTGTAATGCACATGCGCATGAAATCCGGTCATCCATGGTCATAATCAACCTCATGCCTTCAAACGCTGAGGTGATTCAGGGTGTGACAGATTTTCCTAGTTCGGGTCAAGTGCATATTATTTGATAAATCGTATCATGATTGGCCATGCCGTCGAAGATATGAAATGATTGGTGAATCATCATCTATTTCCGGGAAAATTCTACCAGGCAGGAGTTAATTTAGTGTTTTAGTTCCTTGTCTGATTCTTCCGACAGCGAGATATTCACAATTTCTTATCACGTGATGAGTAATGAATTCCGCGTTTCTGTGGCCAACTTTGTAGGGGATCATCCTTACCAGAAAGAAGATGGTCGCCTTTGGGAAGAAGTTGAAAGAAAACCAGATTCAAGAATGGAAAGGGTATGAAGTTATTACATTTCATCTGTTTCTTTCATTCATGTTGTTTTGTACTGGTCGAAGGTTATAGTTTTTCATTTGTTTCTGAAATGTGGCTATGCTTTTCAGATATTATATCGACTATAAGTTTTTGAAAAAGAAGGTTAACCGGTATTCGCAACAACTTGACGTTGGAACCCAGGATCCCAGTTTTGTTCTCTGGGACTTTTCCAAAATGCTGGATGATCAGGTAAAATAGCGCAGCAAGGATTAGCAAGGAATCTGTGCCTATATTGAGAATTTTTGTGAACAGGGTTTTGTTATTCACTTTTTAATTCTCATCTGTGATGTTTTTGTTAGGGGCGTGCCATAGGGATATTGTTCTTTGATTTTCCATATGCATGAAGTGGGTTTAACATTCTATAAGCAAAAGAAATGTTTGATTTAGCTTGTGAGTTTTGTGAATGACACTTGCTTTCTTGGTTTTAAAATTTTAGATTCAAAAGGTTGTCTTATTTCTGCTGGAAGAACAAGGATTGCTGGCGCACAGATTATTGTCTCTTGGGGAGCAGTGCAGTGATCTTCTACAACAGGGTGAAAGAGCCAGCATCTGCAAAATAGAGCAAGGATACAGACAAGTTGGACAAGATCTTTTGAGGCTGGTTTTTTTCCTTGAGATGAACGCTACTGGTCTTCGTAAGATCTTGAAAAAATTTGATAAACGCTTTGGGTATAGATTTACAGACTATTATGTCAAAACTCGTGCAAATCACCCTTACTCTCAGCTCCAACAAGTGTTCAAGCAAGTGGTAAAGTGTTGTTACTCTTTTTATCTTTTTGTTTCTGCTGCATTATCAATGCTGTAAATGCTCAGATTGTTTTCTCCTTCCTGCACTTGTATAAAAAACCTCCGATAATTCCTGAAAGAGGTCTGCCAATTTATACTCAAAACAACGTATGATGCATAGGGTGTTGGGGCTGTTGCTGGCTCCATTTCACGCAATCTTGCAGAACTCCGGGACCATCAGGGAATCTACGTTTCAATATATGATCAGCCCATTTTATCAAACACGGTATGTTTTCAAATTCCTAGATATCTGACTCAGTGACCTTTGCAATCGCGTGCTCTTTCTTTTATCTGGGATGCAACAAGGCATTTGTTGTGTTCTTTCCAGTGATATGAGAATTCATGTTCTGCAGGACCCTTTGGTTGATTCTATTAATGCAGCTGTTAACAGGCTATCAAACTCGACCGACTTTCTGGAGTTTCTGGGAAGACATGCATTTATTATATCAGGAGACTCGGGTCAGCTAGAAGATTATGCTGCTGAAGAGGAATTTCATTTCATGTCTCTTCTACTGAACTTGGTGAACGCTTTCCTGTATATGATCAACACCTACATCATTGTCCCCACAGCAGATAGTTACTCACTCAATCTTGGAGCCGCTGCGACTGTTTGCGGTGTTGTGATTGGTTCCATGGCTGTTGCTCAATTGTTTTCTTCGATTTATTTTAGTGCATGGTCAAACAGGTCTTACTTGAGGCCACTTGTGTTCAGCAGCACTGTGCTTCTCATAGGCAACACATTGTATGCCCTGGCGTATGATATAAATTCTATAACAGTTCTTCTGGTGGGCCGCCTTTTCTGTGGGTAAGTTTTTATACTATCATCTCTCAGTTTCCCTTCAACTTAGAAAACGCTAGCTAGTGGGACTAGACCAATGCTCAGAAGAAGGATCAATCCTGTGTTGTGTATTAATCCTGTGTATGCAGCAGTGAGACACGAGTTTGGTCTTAGGAACTTTTAAATCCATTCTCTGTTGAATGAAATGCGACATATGTGCCTTTTGTCTTCTGATGTTGTTAGACGTGTCTCTTTTCCGTTGTGAGTTTGTTTGGTTTATTCTGCGTAATTTTGTGACCTCAGGTTAGGTTCTGCAAGAGCCATCAGTAGGCGTTATATAAGTGACTGTGTGCCACTAAAATTCCGCATGAAGGCTTCTGCTGCATTTGTTAGTGCAAGTGCGCTAGGAATGGCATGTGGCCCAGCTCTTGCTTGCTTATTTCAGACTAACTTCAAGATTTTCAATCTCACTTTCAATGAGGATACATTGCCCGGTTGGTTTATGGCTCTTGCGTGGCTATTCTATTTGTTGTGGTTATGGATGTCCTTCAAGGAACCTGTTAGAGAAATTAAAGAGGGCGTTGTTCCCCAGGAAGGTAATCTAGCTCCTCCACTGCTCTGATCCCAAGTTCAATCATATATATGGGTAACAATGTCAAATCTTAAAACCAAGTTTACATACGTAGGACCCTCAGCTAAGTACACTTTCAAGAAAAATCTTGAGGCACCGTTGCTCTTGCAAGCCGAAGCTAAGCAAGAGATGAGTAATGAAGATGAGGATTGTGAGGAAGACTCTGAAGAAGACCATGAGCCTGTCACTTCACTCGTCTCAGCGTACCGGATACTTTCGCCTTCGGTAAAGGTAATATGTTCGGTCAAAGTTCAATCTTCTCGGATGCCATGTGAGTAAGCCTCATAGCATTTTAAAATGAAAACATTCAGCTCATATTTACTGCCAGGTTCAACTATTTGTATATTTTATGCTCAAATATGCAATGGAGATTCTGCTAGCCGAGTGCAGCGTCGTCAGTACGTATTACTTCGAGTGGCCAACAAAGACAGTTGCGGTTTTTCTTGGGTTCCTTGGTCTAACTGTACTCCCCGTGAACGTTATAGTAGGACACTACATCAGCAACATGTTTGAAGAAAGGTAAAAAGCACTCGACTGGATAGGAAATTTCCTGAAAGTTGTACAAATAATGGCAACAGCTCCTGATTCTATCAATCTGATTCACCAAATTTAGGTTAATGAAGATGGTTTTATTCTTACTTTCAGGCAGGTAGTGGTAGCCTCAGAAATCATGCTATGCATTGGGATCCTTTTCAGCTTCAACGTCTTTGTCCCTTACACGGTTATTCAGTACATTGGCTCAGCATTTGTGACGTTTGTATCTGCAGAAGTTCTTGAAGGTAATAAATCCAAGAGGCATCTGTCACACTGTGGATATATATACACACAAGTTGATGCTTTCTTGAGGCGATAATGAATGTCTAATTCTCTCATAACATATATGTGCAGGAGTGAACTTGTCGGTGTTATCGAGGGTGATGCCATCAAGGCTATCCCGAGGGACTTACAACGGAGGATTGCTTTCGACAGAGGCTGGGACGTTGGCCCGTGTGGTGGCTGATGCTACCATTACGCTTTCTGGTCACTTCCCTCAGAGTTGGCTTTTGAACCTCACTTTGATCCCTTCACTTGTCATTTGCTTCTCCTCCATTGTTGCCACCTCCTTCTCTTACAACTCTCTTTACTGAACCTCTCTCTCTCTCCTCCTTTGCTTCACCCTCGCGTGTTTCTGTGTATTTTTAGCTCCCAAGTTTGTAAACTATATATACTCAAAGAGGCATATATATGATTTACATCATCTTGTGGAAGTGGCTCTGTCACTTTTTGCTTTGAAAAAATGCAGTCATTACCAAAAGTATCATTAGATTGATGATGATAAGATGAAATTAATGTGTACAATCAAATCCAAATCTGGAAAGAGTCATTGGTAAGATAACCATATATAATGGTTATCCATAAGCGTTTGAAAATTCATGTGCATTTTGCCTTGGAATATCAATTCCGGTACACACTATATAAACACGTTATATTTTCTTCTTCATCTCTTGAGATTGCTTTTTAGTTGGAATTATATTTCTTTGTTTTGATATTATTTTTTCTAATCACTAAAATGAAGCTAATCGATATGAGATTTAAGTAAAGCCCATTTTATAAATCATATAAGGAATATAATGTTTAGAAAATTATGGAAATATAAGTGAAACAGATAGAGAAGAAACTCAGAAAACGAATGAATTTTTACTGCATTTCATAAAATTTCATCCTTGCCACATAGGTCCATAACAACAACTTTTTATATACAAAATTATACTTATCTGAATAAATCTTCATCATCCACGTGTTGCGATATTGGTTGGAGAAGAAGCATCTTTGCTGGATATTGTGATTCTGTTAGGATTTTTCAATACAGTAGAGTGATTTCTGCGATCCATCTTCATGCGATGATCCTGACGAAGGAGAGAGGAGAAGGTCTGATCGTGTGTTGCAAGAGTAGCAACATTAATATGATCTCCACTAGTTGGGCCTTTTGCACATGGTAATGGGCTTCAACAGATAGAACATAGGAATAACGTTTCCTTAGTTCCCCCGTTTACTCTCTCCCTCGAATCCTTCGCTTTCGAGTCGGATCCGACGGATCGAGACGAAATCCCGACCCTAACACCTCCCTCCGTCTCCTCTCTCTCTCATCTTCTTGCGTTTCCGAAGCTCTCCCAAACCAACAGGTAAGAATCGTGAGCGTGCGGGAGGGGAAGAGAAGAAGCTATAGCAATGGCAGCGGATTTGCCGGAGGGGACAGTACAGAACATACTGGACCAAGAGTCTCTTAAATGGGTCTTTGTCGGAGGAAAAGGAGGTGTCGGGAAGACGACTTGCAGTTCCATACTCGCCATCCTTCTCTCCAGGGTTCGGTCCTCTGTTCTGATCATTTCCACCGACCCGGCTCACAATCTTAGCGATGCGTTTCAGCAACGCTTCACCAAGACCCCCACTTTGGTTAATGGGTTCTCCAATCTGTTTGCCATGGTAAGCGTCCTTGGTTTCCTCGATCGGGTTGGATTGGGTGAAATTCGTAGTATTATGCCGAGGTTCTTGTCAGGAAACTAGGGTTCTCTGGGTTGAATTTCAATTGCAATCCGCGTGTTTGGAGTTGAATTTCCAGAATTTAGGTCATAGCTGTTGTTGTGCATCAGTGTGTTTCTTGGAGTTGTAGCTTGAATTCAGTGTCGATATTAATTCAGGATGCTTGAAATCGAATTACATCTGTGCCTTCCTCTGACAGGAATTTGTACAATTCCCAAACGATGGTATCTTCGCTTAGAAATTGAGTTTGTATGTTGGAGTTAGCGTTCTTTGGATTAACATCCATACCAACTTGTGTTTTTGTGAAAGATTTGGACATACGCCTTGACTGTTTGTGGATTCGGTTGAGATTTGATGGAAGAATCCAGTGTTTCCGAATTGGATTTCGCCGTATTGGCTAAAAGTCAATGTAATAGCAGTTCTTTTAGTCGAGCTCTTCAATCTCTATCCGATTATCTCTGTGATTCTAGGATAATCTTTATTAGGAAGCAAACTTCACGATCCCTCTATCTTTACATCAAACTCAACGTCAGTTCTTGGGTTTCCAGTACTTGTTTCCAGCTGATGAATTCTTGAATTATGTGATTGTTAACCTTATATTTCTCAGGCAGATATGTTATCTTTACGGAAGATGGTGGTTTTCTGCCTGATCTCTCATCTACGCACTTGAAAAATTATTTTCTTGGGGGTGGTTATGTGTATGTATATACCTTGAGTCTTGGAGTTTTTTTCGCTTCTGATAGGTTTCAGTTTTTCCCGAGTTTTATTGGATTAAAATTTACTTACTTTGTGTTCTTATCTAGTTGATAGCATTTGTGTATTGGAAATGGTCCATCCGACACTTTTTCTGTCTAATCTTTGAGTGTTTATAGCAGATGATGGTTTTGTGTCTAATCTTCTAACTTTGGCTTTGGAGCGATTACGTATGTACCCTGAAATTTGGTTGTTGTCCCATCTAGTAGCATCGTGTACTTTTTCCTTATTTGCACTGGAGTAAATGCTTCTCCATTTATGGAATTCGCACTCCTACATATCTTGACCATGTGATTTGTTTGCTTTGCCAGGAGGTGGATCCTACCGTTGAAAATGATGAGATGGCAGGTGCAGAAGGAATGGACAGCTTATTTTCCGATCTAGCAAATGCCATCCCTGGAATCGATGAGGCAATGAGCTTTGCTGAGATGCTGAAGTAAAGAGCTACACTCCGATTGATTTGCTTTCCGAACAAAATTTTCCCGGCTTGACACATTTTGCGTTTCTCCAGGTTGGTGCAAACGATGGATTATTCGACCATAGTGTTTGACACAGCTCCGACGGGACACACTCTTCGCCTGCTACAGTTTCCTTCTACATTGGAGAAGGGGCTTTCAAAGTTGATGTCTTTAAAGAGTAGATTTGGTGGCTTAATGAATCAGGCATGCTATTTACCTCTGTGAAAACAATAATTACTCTTTGCTTGGTATGTTTGATCGGCTTTGGTTTAATTTTCTTTGGCTCATTTCGGGTGAAACTGATTGGTTATTGGCAGATGAGCCGTATGTTTGGCATTGAGGATGAATTTGGCGAAGATGCTATCTTGGGAAGGCTGGAAGGCTTGAAAGATGTGATTGAACAAGTGAACCGGCAGTTTAAGGACCCGGTAAGGTCATGACCCATTTCTCCAATCATGGTTCATGAATGTGGGCAGTTTAAGTAACAGTGCTTCTATCACTCAGGATATGACGACATTTGTATGCGTATGCATCCCCGAGTTTTTATCACTGTATGAAACAGAGAGGCTTGTCCAGGAACTCTCCAAGTTTGAGATCGACACACATAACATAATCATCAACCAAGTCCTGTTCGACGAGGAAGGTAGCCTCTCTCTCTCATTTTTTTCCTTTATCCATTTTCTGTTGGATACTTTTTCCTCATATATATATGAAATAGATGTGGAATCGAAGTTGCTGAAAGCAAGGATGAGGATGCAACAAAAGTATCTGGACCAGTTTTATATGTTGTACGATGACTTCAATATCACAAAGCTTCCTCTGCTTCCGGAAGAGGTAAGAAAGAACAACCCATCATCATCATCAGAGGAAGCCTGGTCTGAATCGATCATCATATGGTAAATATAATTGAAATGGAATGGCAGGTGACCGGGGTTGAAGCGTTGAAGGCCTTCTCACGTCACTTTTTGAGGCCGTACGAGCCTTCGACGAGCATCCAATGCAATGCGGAAGAGCTCCACCGCAAAATTAAAACGTTGCGTTTGCAGCTGAAAAATGCCGAAGAAGAACTTCAACGGATCAACATTGCCTGATGACCCTTTTTCCTCTCTTTCTTTACCAAATTCAAACAACTTTCTTTTACATGTCGTCCACTTCTTGGGTTTTTCTGTTTTCTACTTCACCGATGTGGCAGAACAAATGTGCGATAGAATCATATCTTCTTCCGCCTTCTTATTATGTATGTGTTTGTTACGGAACGGTCATACATGGTCCCGTCCGTTGGGTTCCTAGTTCATGACAAAACAACAAAGGGCATTTACGGTAATTCACATCGAGGGGAACACGGCTTTTGGACTTCATAAGGCTCTATAAGATTTGCCATTAACATTTTGGGCTTTTAGGGTATGGGTTTATAAAGCTGATGGTCTTCTTCCGTTATATGGATTTGTAATTTTCGGTACATATGGACTTGAATAAATCGTGATTTGGGACTTGGAACCCTAACCATTTTCTTCGTCTTTTACGCGTCCATCAATGGAAGCTCTGCCCGAAGGCGTGCTCCAGCCTCTGTTCCATGCTTCGAACTCGTCATCTTCTCTAGATGGCTGCTTACAATTTCTTCTAGATGTTTCTAGGACCGATTCCGGTCGCGCCGATCTCGCTTCCAGAGCCATCCTCCCCTCGGTCCTTAGTCTTCTCCAGCTTCTTCCCTACCCATGTTCTCGCCATTACCTGATTCTCGCTCTGAAGGTCCTCAGGAACCTCTGCGCCGGAGAGATGACGAACCAAAAAGCTTTCGTCGATCACAGAGGTTCTGCACTTGTTTCCGACTTGTTGGTTTCCGCGATCGGAGAGTCGCATCCGGATTTCGAGACGATTCGGTTTGAACTGCAGGTGTTGGCCAATGTCGTTTTGGCCGGGGAAGAACATCAGAGAGATGTGTGGAGTCGCTTTTTCCCGGAGAGATTCTCCGATGTCGCGAAGGTTCTGAGACGTGAGACGTGTGATCCTCTCTGCAAAGTTGTGTATACATGTTGTGATGGAAGTTCCCAGATTGCTGCGGAGCTTTGCAGCGATGAAGGTCTGAGCATCATGTCTGACATCGTACGGACGGCATCTTCTGGTACGTTAGGACTTGTCCTGACTTAGTGCTTTGTGCCCTTAGCTTCAGAGATTAACTACATATTGCCACTGAAATCAACGTTACAATCCATTGTTTTTCATGACAATCTTTTTTTTCGATCGAAGTTTCACTATTAATTGTTCGTTGTCCAGTTGGGTACGGGGAAGATTGGTTGAAGTTGTTGCTTTCAAGGATCTGTGTTGAAGACGATTGCTTTCCTCGCATGTTCTCTAAATTGCACTACGTTGAGTGCAAGGACACGGTAGATGATGTTGCATTTTCAGTAGAGCAAGCCTTTCTTCTGAGGGTGGTATCAGAGGTGGTAATTGAGCGGATGCGGGAAATTTCAATCCCCAGGGATACTGCATTGTTCATTCTGGAAATTTTCAAGAAGTCCATTGGTAATTTCAGATCTGTTTTGGGTGAAAGATCTGAGCTTCCGACGGGATCAACTGTAATTGACGTGATGGGTTACTCTTTGACAATAATAAGAGACACATGCGCTGGAGAAAGCCTTGAAGAACTGAAGAAGGATGTCAGTTCAGGCGATAGCGTTGAAGCACTACTATCCTCAGGTCTTGTAGAGTTACTTTTAGGGCTGCTTCGTGATCTTGAGCCTCCAACAACAATAAAGAAAGCTCTGAATCAGAATTCTTCTTCTTCTTCTTCTTCCAAGCCTTGTCCTTACAGAGGCTTCAGGAGTGATATCGTGGCTGTGGTAGGGAACTGTGCTTACGGAAGGAAACAGGTACAAGAAGAGATCAGAGAGAGGGAAGGGCTGTTGTTGATGTTGCAGCAGTGTGTGACGGATGACAAAAACCCATTTCTGAGAGAGTGGGGCATTTGGGGTATGAGGAACTTGCTTGAAGGGAACCAAGAAAACCAGGAAGCGGTTGCTGCGTTGGAGATTCAAGGGTCTGTTGACGATGTGCCTGAACTCCAAGATCTTGGCTTGAGAGTTGAAGTTGATCCAAAAACCAGAAGGCCCAAGCTTGTTAATGTCCGTGAAAATTAGATGAAACATGGAAAAACACGAGTATAATTTCCTTCGCATTTGTGTAACCGATTGCAGCAGCCACTGCAGCAATCATGTCTCAAAAGGCATTATCTGTGTAGAAAGGTTCCTTGATACAGACGTTGAGTCCCCAGAAAAGATTGAGCAGATTTATGAAAGCACTCTGTACAATACTGAAGAGAGAACATAACTGAACTTCACAAAAGGGTGGTTGTTAAAGTTAGATGGTGAGATTCTCCTGAATGGCGATGAAAGATCCGACAATGTTGCCTCCAACGTCAGGGAAAGACTCGCAGCCGGGAAGAGGTCTAACTTTACCTTTGAGATCAACTTGGACAGGATACTTCAAAAGGTGTCCCCTCATGTCTGTAATTTCATCGGCAGAAAACTGTTTCCAGTTCCTCTCCCCCATCGCTCTCACCTTCCTAACGCATTCCAGACTGTCTGGCTGCGTGAAGCACTCTTCCAGGGTCCCCATGTGTTCCGCCCACAGCGACATTCTGTAACCATATATCTGCACCAAAACTGCATCAGTCATGCACTGTACTTTTCTTTTGGAGGCCATTTCACTCGTATTTTATTGTCTCCCAAAGTTCCAGAGTTTTCCAATCCTATCCAAAGCAAACAATCCTTTGTGGGGAACATAAGCTCGAGAATTATATGATGCATAATGGATTGGTTACTAATCACTTACTAGTTCTGGTAGGTAGACTGTTCAAGATTTCGTTCCTAGTTCACAGCACATCCTATCCTAGTTCTTGTAAGTAAGCTATGGACTGGTCCTATCTAAAGCAAACAATCCTCAAGTGCATGAAGATCACCCCATATTTTAACACCATCCTATCCTATTCTGTTGTCCAACTGCTATCTGAATGCATGCTAGGATACGCATATTCTCTTTGTCCTCTCCTATTCCATTATCTCAATGCAATCTATACTTCCAGGAATCATTTGCACTGCAAAACCCAAGAGTGTCACGAACACTAGACTCATGACACCTCACACGTTGATCTTTTTTCGCATGTTATACCTGACCACGAGGACCAGATTGTTTTCTCGCCCATGTATGTTGAGGCTGGTAAGCACCCATTGCAATCTCTGTATCTCTTGTGCCTTCCATTGATCGTTGGTTGATGTTTGCGGATCCAATGACCACATACTCGTCATCAACAACCATCCCTTTGGAGTGAACATAGATCATAAATCTTCTACTTTTCTTACTCAGTACCTATAACAAAACCCAAACTCATCAATTTTAACAGCAACAGCCGCCAGCAAAGTCAAGGTTGGTTACCTGTGGAGTGTTTGCGCTGCTTGGACTTCCAGTGCCCGAGTGATCAATTCCATCCACTGTCTCTCGGTTGCCTAGACAGAAGAAATTCAGATAGTCTTGTGGTGTAAATGCTCCTTCAAGCCCCATCTCCACCAACGCCTTGTAGATAGTCTCGTACATCATCTGCATTGTCTTGTGCTGCAACAACCGATAACAATGAGAACCAGGATCTTACTGTTGTAATGCCCAGAACTATGGTATACACACCCTAAATCCCGTTGTGGCTAAAAAATATTTCTCTCGCCCAGTGGTTTCTCCATTAGTTGAGTTAGATATCATTTATTGTATGATTATGGACCAAGTGGAAGTTTACTTAAACTGATTGCAGAAGTGAGTTATTCACTTGGCTTACCTGCCAATATAGGATCCTTTGCGTAGCAGCTCCGGTTGGAACACCTTCTGGCCACATCGGAATGACAATATATGCAGCAAACCGTTCATTTGCCTTTATCTTTTCCGCGATCTTCAGTGCAATTTCCATAGGAATTAAATTATTTGCACCTACATAACCACCACCGTAAAATACAGTCTTTTAGAGGTCATAATGATCATTCTTTGACCTTAGAAGAGAATAAAGAATACTAAAAAGACTAGAAGACTGCAGCTTTTAGAGTACAAATAGCAAAACTAATTTGCAAAAAAAAGCATAATAACCAGAGGTAATATAGAGTGAACATATATTAAGTACAAACAAAACAGTGTCCCTACATTAATTCGGGATTCTTTAAAAAAACTGTAATCATCAGAAGCACAAAAAAACTCAAGATTTTTGGAAAGACCCCAATTAACATATACGAAATTAACAGGAGAGTTCACAATAATCTGTCTCCAAACTTTTAGGGAAAAACTCATGTTTGAAACAAAATCATTACAGATGAGAAACATCATCATTCGAAGGAAAAAAAATACAGAATGTATATCATCAGACAATATTCTGAAATTTTTTAAAAGTTAGTTTTTTGAATCCTTGAAACATATAGGCGTTATCTCATTTAAGAAAAGAGAAACACAAGTACCTATGTCCTTGTGTGCATTCCAGTTGTACGAGGATCCGATGAAATACTGATTCTCGATGTAAATGAAGTGTTGGGCTGCACGGATAGCTTTCACATATGCCGTATGAATGCTCATGTCAATGAGCATGTTCTTACCACACACCAGGTTCTGTAAAAAAAAAAAAAAAAAAAAAAAACCCTTTACCTATCAATTATTTCCAAATCATTGAGATCATAAGATTGCATTCATTTTTCAGTTTACCTTGCTTGTAGCATCTTTTGGGTCCTTCGGGAAACCTTTAACAGAGTTGGAATCGATTGAGCGGAAAATCTGCATCCATAAACCACAAAACCATCAGCAGAGAAACAAGCTCATTTCAGATGAAATTAAGATTTATGTTCCCATTCAATAAAACAACTCTTTGGGACCATAATTACAGACCAAATTTAAGATTCACACAATCCAATAGACGTATGAGCAATTTTCATATGTTCCGCATGGAAGTAGGAAAAGAACCTCGGATACCAAGATGATCCAAAGAGATTTTTTATACACAAGGCTAGGCAAAGGAGAAAACAGAGTCTGTAAAAACAAATCCAAAGCAACAAACAAACACAATAAAAAAAACACTGGATATTCACATTCCAGGGTTGGTTTGTATCTTAATGCTAAAGACACTCAAATACTCTTTATCTCAAACTCTGACACAAGAATAGAAGGTGTTTCCAAATCTGAATCATATCTTCAATGCAGAATGAATATTCAAATTCCTGGGTTGGTGAATCATATCTCACCTGAACATGCCAAGCTTCAGGATCGTTCTCGCTGACAGTAGGAACATCAGAAACCCCTAATATATCAGGAATCCTTTCAATCCTAAGCAATGCATCGTCATATGACATCTTGAGTTTCTTGATCCCACGAGGCTTTGCAGCTTTCATCCATCTCTCCTCAAAGTTAGTCAGCACATCGTAAGCAGCTGGACCATCAATCTTGCTGTGCAAGTCATGCCATGGCTCTCTTGGACACCCCGAAACATTACCCTGAAAAAAAAGATAATTTTAGTTGGCCAAGTTAAAATTTCTCTGTCAGACAGAATTATTAGCAATCGATAAAACGTGTCATGTACCCAATAAGTAAACAAAAAAACCACAGATGCAAGGGAAAGAAAAAAAAAGTAAGCAAGACCATGGAAAGCCAAATGAAAATTCGATAAACATTGGGAGGTAAGATCTTCATCACTTCAGAAAAACTCTTTTCTTTGAATATATGAAGATCTTCACCGCTTTTAGAGCTTTTCACTATCATGAAGTTAATGACTAACTAGCAAAACCAAACAAGAAAAGAAAGGTGACATAGTGAAAAGGACGACAGGCATTCAAGAAGCGCAAGGGATAGAAAGGCGAGGTCTTTTTCACTCCAGAACAAAATTTCAGATCTTTGGGGGTATTGTTTGAGATAAAACAACTCCTTTCCTTGAGATACAAAAAATTATCAAAATCTAACTGAAAATGGCTTGTCAAGATTGTCTGAAGACAAATAAATATTAAGAAACATTACACTGCTGAGCACTCTTTGGCACAGCTAAAGCATCCCACATGAGAATTTACCAAATAATTTCCAAGAAGATAACCTGAGACTCAGAAAGACAAGTGGAGATTGAGAAAAATACCGTAAAAGTGGGGTTATGATAGTCATCTTTATGAACTGTTTGAAGTGTTCTAAACAGTGAATGTTGAGGAGTATCATATCGACCATCACATAGATCAAGTCCGCCCACAAAAGCTATTATTTTTCTTCTGTTACCCCCAGCATCAGCATCAACTATCACGGTCTTTTGGTGGTGTGTATAGATGGTTCCAACTTCCTGATAGACTAAAAGTCTAGTTAAAATATACTCAATACCTCTGGAAAAAGAAAAAGAAAGAGGCAATTTACCCTCTGCTTGACCCAACTATGACGTTTCCCAGCAATTCGAGGGCACAGCAATACTTGAACTGAGGAGTGCTTGAAAAATCGGCGTGTCTCCTCATCGTGGGTTGCCATAACCCCATCCTTCCAAGTTAAAAAGTTAAGCAGATAACCACACCAATATGAGTCATAAGAGCTTCAAATATCTATAGATTGAGCCACAGACTTCTATACAAAACAAACTCTTGGGTGCATAATGTAAAAACGTTTTAAGTCCAAAATCCATCCCAGACTTCTCTTTCACAAGTAATATTAGGAAAACAAAAAAGGCAAGAAATTTCATGAAGACTTGGTGAAGTCAAAATTACAACTTATCGAACACTCAAGAGGGTTCGAATTTTATCCAAGAAATTAACCATTGGCTAAGCTCTATACATGAAATACAAGAGGAAAATTTTAATCACATATCAGGTTAAAATGAAAAGAAAGGATCAAGAGAGATGTCAGGCAACTTACAGTTTTATATCCCAAAATGCTCCGTGACGTAGGGTCATCCCAAACCAAAAGCAGGACTCTCACACCTTCTTGGGACTTTGACCTTAGGAGCTCACCAAGCGTACACTCTGATGCAGGTCTTTCACTATCCCGAACTAGACTAACTTTGTGCCACACTGACCAACCCGTTATATAAATCAAACGCCTCGCCTGACGTATGGCATCAAACATATCATGCCAACACTTCCCATGTTCATAAGACATTCCATTGTCAAGTCTTATCCCTGGGAGCATCCTTTCGGGGACATGAGCGTCTTGGTACAGTGTCATAGTCCCGCCTTTCCTGAGAGGAAAATATGTACCCGGTACTCCATAGTAATCGGGACCAGCCCCGACTCCATGGTGGTAAACACTGAGTTTTTCCATTGGTGTATATTGAATTGATAACGATAGAACAGCCCCTGGTTTACAAGGTTTTCCATTACTGGTCAGGATGGGGAAAGTTCCTTCAATTCTGGCTCCTGAGAATATCTGTTCAACCGGAATTGCAACTATTCCTATAAGCTGTGAACCCACAACATCACTGTCTTTGACAACAAAGTGAACTTCAGGAGCGTGATGAGCAACAGGAACATAAAAATGCTGCATCCAGACAGGATTTTCGCTGTTGCTCAGGACATAAGTTCTTCCAATCACAGCACCTGCCACTGATATGGACACATAAGGGTCACTTGTGATCTTCCTGCTCAACTGTCCTTCAATCTTGTTGCTCATGTTTCCTGGCAATCTTCCAAACATATCGCCCAACGTCTTATGGAACATGTCCATGTTTGGGAGATTCTTTGCATCATAAATCCAAATGTCCAGATTCCCATGCAACAACAGGACCTTCAAGGACCCCTTGCCAAAGGGCACAATCTGCATACCCGGACCATGTGGTGATTCCGTAGAGGAATAGCCATGCATAGAGACATTTGATGAATCTACTCGTCCCAAGTATGGCAGACCTGAATTACTTGGGAATGAATTGTTCGGGTATCTATAGAATTCACCTGGCCGACCCTGCCCAAAACAGGAGCTCGAAGGGGGAGCAGATACAGGGGGGACTGAGGGGGCTGGCAGTGATGCGGGCGCACTCGGGCGATTATCAGAAATGTGCATACTGCCCAAAAGTTCATCCACGGGAGGGTAAACAGGCGGGTAGGAAGATCCTCCTCCTCCACCACCACCACTGACATTCTCATGGCTCAATCCCATAGAACTCACATTGTCTTCCCTGTGATAATCGAAGATGCCCTGGGTTCGCGGAGGCTCTTGGGGTTTAGTTTCAGGCGGTGGCGGGTATTGGCCTGGTTCTTGATACGAATAGTGAGATGAGCCGTAAGTGCCAAAACTACCGTGAGAATGAAGCGTTGGCTGATGGGCAGGATAAGGGTAAGGAGGTTGGGGTTGGTAGTTAAAAGAACTAGAATAACTAAGGGAGTGCCTGTGGTAATCTAAAGGAGCTGAATGAGGCGAAGGAGATGGCTGTGGATGGTGGCTATAGTCTAATGGACCCGAATGGTGATGAGGAGGTGGTGGGGGTGCATACGGCTGCAAGGGCGGCTGGTAAGGGTAGTAGGGAGCGTTGTATTGATGGGATGGTGGTGGTGGTGGATAAGGATCTGAATTTGGAGGCCTATAAGGATTTGGGTGATAAGGGTACGGATACTGGTTGTTGTTGCTGTTGTTGTTGTTATGAGGATATGGAGAGGATGAGCCATAATTCTCCATTTATATATTACACAGCAGACGTATCGATCTCCAGTCGACGCCAATCGAAATGCAAGGACCTCGCACTTTTCACAATACAGATCAACGAAAGGGTACCGGAATTTGTACACGCATAACACAAATTTTGCAGGATTTACACGCACTCTTACGGAAGCTAAGATTTCAAGCGAATCGTGAATTGAAGGTGTATACGTTTTTGTAGGAAGAATGCATAAAAGGGAAATGAGAATCTGGGTTTTGTACGTGTGAATTCAAAATTGGATTTTCTTACTCGACGATAGAAGCAAACAAACGCGGTTTGCAATAAATCTGATTGAATACAGTATGAATTCGATTGATTCCCATAGGGGATTGCATAGATTTACCTCGTCAGAGCCGAAACGGATCCTTCCCAGAAGAAACGCGGACAAGGAGCGATGACAGGAAAAAACAATTCAAATGATTTTTTTTTTCTCTTCTTATTTTTTCCTTCTCTGTTTTTGTCTCTCTCTTTTTTCCCGTTCTTGACGATGACGAGGCATACGAACCTGATATAGCCGCTCGCATCTTCCCCGGTTGTATCCCTACGCGTTGGTCCACTCTACGTATATCATCCGACTGATGCTTTTGTATTATTTGTTTAATTCATTACTTTTATTTTTATTCTGCGTTTATTTATCTATTGAATATTGCATTTTGTAATTATTGCCCATAAATAAATCCGATAAAAGTATGGCGAACTATTGTAGATCAAAAAAAATTTCTGAAAAGTTGAACCTTGTAAGTATTGCATCTGCATTTTTTATTTTTGTTTAGTTTCTTTATTTTGCTTGTTCCAAACGTGACGTATGAAAGGTCACAATGTATGTATATGGCCATCGCATCAGAAGCCTTTTATATTAAGATTACTGAATGAATGGGTCAATCTTTTTCATTAAATAACGAATCAATCGTGCACGTATGATGAACATGGCGCGGCTTGTCATTCCTCTAAATTCGGACCGGACCCTTGTGGGCAACTAAATGGGCCTAGAGATCATAGAAAGGCCCACTAGTGTTCATTTTGTTTTTTTAAACAAGGGTTGTCGTTCATTTCTCGGTAAACCTTGTCCCCCAGAGATCAATGGCCAAAGGAGCATAAACCCAGAAGCCCTGAGCAGATGTCCCTGCTTCGTCTCTCCCGCCAAAATCCATCCTCGTTCTCGCTCTCTTTCACCCGCTGCTTCTCCTCGATCGCGGCCTCTTCTTCTTCTCGACTGCGAGACTATTACAATTTCCAGCCTCCGCCTCCTTTGTCCTCGCCTTCCGACAACCCTAACCCTAACCATAACCAGAAGAAGAAGAAGCAGAAGCCGCTGTACCGTCCTCCTTCTTCTCTAGAAGGCGTCAAGAAGACGCGCTCCGATCTTCCTTTCGATTTTCGGTACAGTTACACGGAGAGCTGTCAGAATGTGAGGCCCATCGGGTTGAGAGAGCCCAAGTACTCGCCATTCGGACCCGGCCGCTTGGACCGGGAATGGACCGGCGTCTGTGCACCGGCGGTGGACCAGAAGGTCCGGTCGTTGGATGGGGTGGAAGATCCGAAGCTGGAAGAGAAAAGGAAGAATATGAGGGAGAGGATTCAAGGGGCTCCTCTCACTCAAGCTGAAAGGAAAATTCTCGTGGAGCAGTGTCAGAGAAACAAAACTAAAAGGCAAATCAATCTCGGTACTACGCATATACATGGACTTTTCTGTCTTTTCCCTTCTCGTGGAATTCTGGTCAGGTGTTACTCTATATAATCTGCTGCTGCTATCTGAATTGAACAACGTATGATCTCATCAAAATGGGAAGGTCAAAGGTGTTCTCTTGTCTCAGTAGACGGTGATGTCTGCTTACAGTTATCATAACTGTAGTTGTGTTAAAAGTTATCGTCTTTTTTAAAAAATAGCAAAAGGGTTTGCAGTAGTTAGAATAGCTGTAGTTACTTGAACAATTTCTTTCCTAAAGGGCCGAACTTTCTTCAATTTCTGTGCAGTCTTTCGGTTGTCTCTGTGTTTTCGTAGTCTTAGATGGACATCTCTATAATGAACTTGGATAGCATGAACTTGGATAGCGACTGAGCTGAGGTTTGCTCTCGTGCATGTACCATGGCTTTGTAATCTGCGTGCAGAGATGCTAGAGGAGTGAAACATAAAGGGATTCTTAGAAATTCAAGCAAGATGGTTGCAACAGTTATTTCATTATGGCTGCCCTTGTTCTGGGCTCTCTATTTTCCCTGATAACGATAGCTTAGGATATCCGTATTTGTAGGGAGAGACGGCTTGACTCACAATATGCTGAATGATATCCACAATCATTGGAAACATGCTGAAGCTGTCAGGGTCAAGTGTCTCGGTACCCCAACTGTTGATATGAAAAATGTAATCTTTCACCTCGAGGTATTCCTTTTGATTGTCTTTTGAGCTTTTAAATCCTCATTTGGACTTTATTCATCAGCAATATTCGGCATGGCCTGCCATTTGTCATTTCTTTTCTGTCCTTGAGTTATCTGGTAATAATTCTGTATAGTGATTGTATTGTGTCACTTGCTTGTTACAGGATAAAACCTTCGGAAAAGTCATCTCTAAACATTGTGGTACGCTTGTATTGTATAGAGGCAGGAACTACAATCCCAAGAACAGACCCAAGGTACCATTGATGTTGTGGAAACCTCATGAACCTGTTTACCCTAGACTGATCAAAACAACAATTGAGGGTCTGAGCATTGAAGAGACGAAAGAAATGAGGAAAAGAGGATTAGCCATTCCAGCTCTGACAAAACTCGGTACATACCTCTCCCTGCCTTGTTATTGTAAAATCTAGTCGCAGAAACATCCTCCGGTTAATGTAGCCTGCAAAACTGTTGTTGCAGCAAAGAATGGGTATTATGGCAGTCTTGTTCCAATGGTCAGAGACGCTTTCCTTGTAAGTGAGTTAGTACGGATAGATTGCCAAGGACTTGAGAGAAAGGATTATAAGAAAATCGGTGCTAAACTGAGGGTGAGTATATTGTTTCTTTAGCCCTTACTACTGGCATTAATTTGACATTTTAATACAACTTTTTGTACACCGTCCTCCACTGAAGCTGAAGTGACGAACTAAATTTGTGGAACAGGATTTGGTTCCTTGTATCCTGGTGACATTTGACAAGGAACAGATCTTTATGTGGAGAGGGAAAGACTACAAGCCCTCGGAGGATGACGGATATTCTTCCTTCTTCCGTTGTGAGTCTTCTGCAGACGCAGAAGATACTCCGGAAGAAGATGCCCTTTAATCATTATGGAGCAAGATATGTAACATTAATTATTCAGCAAATACCGTTCAATCTTAAAAGGCGTGGGTATCGATCAATGCTTGTTACCATGCGCATGGTAACAAGCATTAGTTGCAGGTTTTTCCATTTCGACTTGTACATGGAGGAGTAGTATAAATACATGTGTATTGTGGGCACATGGTATTACTATTTAGAAAGAATACCAAGGTTGGTTGTCATGGAGGTAAAATGTTCTCCTTCTCTCCTGTCTTCTGTTTTGCATCGGAGATACGTATACATATATGTAGTTCGATTTTTGTAAAAGCAAAGCGAGTTTAAAACGAAATGCAGCAAAACAAGCATCAGGGTCAAACAGCGAAAGGAAAGGAGCGGGTGGATCACGAAGCCGACAACAGGTTCGCATTCCATTAGATTGTTAATTTCCCATGTTAAAACGATATGACAACATTGTTGGGGTAAAGGGGGAAAGCCATGACCTTTGAGCAATGCTTGGATATGGAACAACGACTTGAGAGAGCTTTCAAACATGTCCAATCCCAAAAGGTCCTTCTTCACACACGACACAATCCCTTCTGTCAATGTGTTTCATTATCATTGTGTAAAAAAAAAAAAAGCATTAGTCAAACTATTTTTATTTATTCTTTTTCCACTTCAGGCCCAAGCATATAACGAACAGGCAAAAAAGGTACAACACACACACACACACATCATACGTCGAAGTTAAATTATATTATATATTTGTGATTTTTTTTCCCCATGAATTGCATGGTGAGAAGGTGTGGGAATTAGAGGTTGAGCATGCAAGGTTGGTTATGGAGGTAAGTCATTGATATCTACTTCACGGCTCCATCTTGTTTTGACTACTGACTTGTTTTCGTTACAAAAAAAAAAAAAGATCGATGGACGCAGGTCGAAGAGGAGGACAGCTGACGACAACGAGAGTGTGTCAAGCTCGCAACCCAAATAGCCCTTTTATCAAGTGCCTCCGCCACTAGTCCCTATGATACTGCGTTTATCGTGTAAATCTAACTAAAAGGAAATAAAACAACGGATATCTTCTGCTTCATACCCCTCCCCTTTCTCTCTCTCTCTCTCTCTCTCTATATATATATATATATTATAGATATAAACCCTACTATCTAAAAATCTCAACAGAAATCTCCAAGAAGACGACATTATTAGGGTAAATCAATAAACCCTAACGAATTGTAAGTACGGCAGAAATATATAAAGAATAATCCTAAACGTGTCAAAAACATCTTAAAAAAACAATTAAAATTCATCAACCCAAACATAAATCGTTAAACTCTTCGTCTAGCGTGCAAACCTCCGGTTTTGTCACGGGCTGGGACTGTTCATCACTAGCCAAGTAGCCCTTCGCCAAGCAGCGTCGAATCTCCGCGTCAATATCAGGCGGTGTTTCTTTAAGTAATTTCGTGATCGCAGATCTCCGTCGCCGGAGGGATTTTTTCCTCGGCTTCAGCCCCCGGTCCACGGTGGGTATCGGTATCGCCGCCGCCAACGACGCCAGAAGGACTAATGTTATTCTTGTCGAAGCCTCCTTCTTGGCTATGGATTCTACGGCCTCCTTCACGCAGCTGAAATCGAAAGATGGGTGTCCGTCGCCGCTTACGGCACCTCTTCCCTTTGACTCTGGCTTCATCGCTACACTCTTCGAGTCTTAAGTCTGATCGACTACATTACATGTATATATATACACATGTAATCAAAGGCGGTTGCGTCCCACTTAATCAAAGTCGGATCGGGTTATCATAATACAGAATCTTGGGTTTGGTCTTTTCGAAAACAGCCCATTTAATAATTTAGTGCCTTTAAAGCCCATTTAATATAATTCAGGGCCTTTAAAGCCCATTTAATAATTTAGGGCCTTTAAAGCCCATTTAATATCCATTGGAGATATCGCGTTGGAACGATGTCGTTCCAATCATGTGTGCTGTCCATATAAAGAGAAGTGCCATTCGAAACAGACTCGTCGGAGGGAAAAAAAAACTGCGACCAAGAAAGAAAGAAAGAAACGGAGAGAAAAAAAAAATCATCTTCGCTCCAATTTATTCACCTCTTCGATCGATCTAGGATTTTTATTTCCAATGGCGTTATGGTGGAGATTGGGACGAGGCGTCCGTGGATGCTCGATCACGGTTATGGCCTGCCTCTGCATTTTCTCATCGTCCATCTTCTTTTTCGGCTACAGACTTCACATCGCTTCACCATTTGGTCTGTTCTTCTCGGTCGTTTCTTTTCAATTTCAGATTCATTTAATGCTCTCAATTTGCATTCCCACTGGAGTTTGATGAATTTCCGTCCTGTGATGTAACTTTTTTTTTTCCCAGTTTGTAAGATTCTTTGTATTGGTTTAAAGAGATTTCTCGGGGAGCGACGATTTTTATTGATTTTTTCCACTGCCGAGGAGATTTGTATTGTGTTAGACAGTAATGGGCAGGACGATATGCAAATGCTTTCAGCAAATTTTATTCTCTGATGCATCATCAAACTCAAGAACATGTTAAGTTTTGCTAATCTTCTACGCGGTTCTAATTTCCAGACAGAGACGATATTGGAGGTGTCTTTACGGACAAGGTAAGCTTATCATAGTCCGATCCGATACATCCTCTTTGTGTTTCTGAAACATGACAACAGAAATGTTTCAAACTGATGTTGCAGAATGTGAACTGGAGAGAACGAGCAGCTCTGCAATCTATTCCATCACTTTTCTCGAAAGAGGCAAGTACCAACAGACTCTGCTCTGCACTTTATTGGAAGAAAGGGATCGAGTATGATTCTAAGACTTTGGTGGTGTTTGACAACACTATGATTCTTCGTGTTTGAATCAGGTCCTTGACATTATCACCACCACCACAGCCAACATGGGACCTTCGAGCCTTGATTCGTTTAGGAAGAACAATCTTTCGCTGTCATGGATAATTGGAGGAGTAGAGAATCAGGTTGAGATTTATCTTCTCCATCTCGGGTTGGCTATGTTTGCTAGTTTCTGTACTAAGTCACTGACCCTAGTGATATTCATTGCGCTCACCAATTTGTCTGAAGGGAAATGAAGGCGAAATGGTTCCCGATTTTGTCCATGGAACTTGGATAGGAAGAGGCGATAAAAATTTGGATGATACACCCGAGAAGTTGTATCAAAGGGTATCTTTCGTCTTTTTGACTACATTGTCAAATGCTTAATGGCTGGTTAGTCTGATTATTGCATCTCGATTTTCTTGCAGAACCTGAGACAAGAAAGACGAGAGAAGCGGGCCAATGAGCTGTTGCAAAAAGACGAAACTATTCAAGAACTTGAGGAAGCAGCCATTGTGCGGTCCAAATCTGTGGATTCTGCAGTGATAGGGAATTACACGATTTGGAAAAGAGAATACGGGAAACAGAACAACATCGAAGAAATAATAGGATTGATGCAAGATCAGAACATCATGACTAGAGTTTACGCTAGCATTGCAAAGATGAAAAATAAGCTTGTCTTGCGTGAAGAACTAGAAACACAACTATCGAAAAGCCTAGAAGCTCTGGAGGAAGCATCCATTGGCGTTGGTCTGCCGGAGAGGTAGTGTACAGCTTATTGCTTTCAGGATAAGGGTTGTGAATCGATATATACATGTATATGTATATTGAATAGTTTTGATATCTTTTACTTTTGTAGAATCCCTGATATGATTAGAGCGATGGGCCAAGTTCTGTCTCGAGCAAACGAGCAACTATATGAGTGCAAGTTGGTCACAGGTAAACTGAGAGCAATGCTTCATACTGCAGATGAAGAACTGGCTGGCGTGAAAACATACGCGACTTTCTTGTCTCAGCTGGCGGCCAAAACACTGCCAGATGTTATTCACTGCTTGTCCATGCGCCTGAATCTAGAGTACTATCTCCTTCCACCGGAGATGAGAAAATTCCCTCGGAAACAGAACTTGGAGGACCCAGATCTTCACCACTACGCTATCTTCTCAGATAATGTAGTGGCAACATCAGTCGTCGTTAACTCCACCATCATGAACACCCAGGTAATGGTAATGGCATTGGCAATGGCAACACTACGTACTGCAAGAACCAATGCTTCAGCTTACAAGAAAGGCCCTTTTGGCTTTATGCTGTTATTGCAGGACACTTCAAGGCATGTCTTTCACCTGGTGACCGACGAACTCAATTTTGGAGCAATGAGTATGTGGTTTATACTGAATCCTCCAGGAAAGGCGACCATCGAGGTTCAAAGTGTGGATAACTTTACGTGGCTTAATTCATCATACTGTCCTGTTCTGAGACAGATTGAGTCAGCAGCGATGAAGGAGTTCTATTTCAAGACGGAGAGGTCAGAGTCTGTAGAATCGGGCACAGAGAGCCTAAAGTACAGGAACCCAAAGTACCTCTCAATGCTAAACCACTTGAGATTCTACCTCCCTGAGATTTTCCCAAAGCTGGAGAAAATCCTGTTTCTGGACGATGACGTGGTTGTTCAGAGGGATCTAAGTGCCTTGTGGTCAGTGGACCTCACGGGGAAAGTGAATGGAGCAGTAGAAACTTGTGGGGCGAGCTTTCATCGCTTTGACACGTATCTCAACTTCACCGATCCTCGCATTTCCAGCAACTTTGACCCGCAAGCATGTGGATGGGCGTACGGCATGAACATTTTCGACCTGAAAGAGTGGAAGAAGAATAACATAACAGACACCTACCACTACTGGCAAAACCTGGCAAGCTTTTCTTTTTTCCTTTTTTATTTTCTTTGGATCCAATCCAAACATTGACGATGGAGGGTCATGTTTTTGGCAGAATGGGGAGAGGAGGCTGTGGAAGCTGGGGTCGCTGCCCCCCGGGCTGATAACGTTCTACAATCTGACGAAAGCGATAGAGAAAAAGTGGCACCTTCTTGGCTTGGGATATGACAAAGACATTGATCTGAAGGAGGTGGAGAACTCGGCAGTTATACACTACAATGGACACTTGAAGCCATGGACGGAGTTGGCAATACCCAAGTATCTCTCCTACTGGGCCAACTACTTCCCTTTTCACCACCCTTACCTCCGCGCCTGCGCCCTTTCCCTTTGACCCATTTGGCAGTTTTACAAATCATAATAATACTGCAATATCGGCTCCGGAAAGCCCGGCCCAATTATATAGGCGCCAGGGGTGGTTTCGTCTCCTTAATTAAGCCGACCAAGTCGGCGCAATTAAAGCCACCACAAAGCCCACAACTATATTTGTACGTGCAACAAGCCCACAACTGGTGGGTCAATCCGGTAAATAGAGTGCGCAAGCAAGGCTATATTTGTAACTTCAGCACCGTTTTCAGTGTGGGACCCAGTCGCACTAGACTGTCTCCATCCTCATTCAAAATACCAGACCTTGAGTGGACCCCACCATCACCCTCTCCATCACTGTTTTAAAAAAAAAATATGAGCCCCAATTTGAAGAAAACGTAAACACAACACACCACCAGTCGTCGTCTTCTCTTCTTCTTCTTCTGGTGTAGTCTTCTCGTTTTCTTTTTGAAATATTGTGTTTGCGGAAACCGTCGCTCGACGGAGGAGGGGGAGTAGAAGAGCACGTCCATGGCGTCTTCGAGAAATGGTGGGATTAGAGGGTCCATGAGGCCGATCTCGGGAGCTAATTCTTCGAATCTCAGATCCTCGTCTTTTAAATCGAGGATTCCTTCCTCGGCTCCGGCTCCCCGTCGGAGCTCGTCCGCTTCCTTGGGAGGACCTAGCGCCGGCGACAATGGAGGTCAGTTTTCACTTATTGATATGAGAACGAAACTCGTAGTTTAGGAACTCTCGCTTTGTATGGATGAGAGAACTCTTTTTCCATTGTTGTGATACGGATATTCCGAGGTTAAACGACTTATTCGAGAGGTGATGAAATTGTAGCATCCAAATTCGACTTCCGATTTTGTTCCCAAGACCTATCGTTATATATTTTGTAGTTCTTTACAGTTCCAGGGAGAGTTCGAGTGGCCGTTAGATTAAGACCTCGAAATGCAGAAGAGTCGGTAGCAGACGCTGATTTTGCTGATTGCGTTGAATTACAGCCTGAGGTTATCTCGATCCTTCTAATTGGAGCGGCCTTACGGAGTTCATCTGAGGTTGTACTGTTGCTGATCGGTTCATCCTTCTTTTCTTTTAGCTTAAAAGGTTGAAACTAAGGAAAAACAATTGGGATTCAGAGACTTACGAGTTCGATGAGGTGCTCACAGAGGCCGCTTCACAGAAGCGGGTCTATGAAGTGGTTGCCAAGCCAGTTGTGGAGGTCTGTATGTCTTCCTTTTGGTTTGGTTAATGCTGTTTCTCCCTTCTCCTATCAGACATGAAAATGAAATCTTTTACCAGAAAGACCGTCCCCCAGCAAAAGTTTATTTCACTATGCTGCTTGCGTCCTCCTCTTGCTCTTCTAGTTTCTTCTGTAGCTTAAATACCCTTAGTGTACATTATTTGTCTTGATGCAGCAAATCAATGACGCGCTACTTTTGATTTTGCAGAGTGCGCTCGAAGGTTATAATGGAACTGTGATGGCCTATGGCCAAACAGGTACAGGAAAGACTTTTACTCTTGGAAGATTGGGGGATGAAGATACCGCTGCTCGTGGTATCATGGTTCGCTCAATGGAGGATATTCTAGCAGGCATTTCCCTGGAGAGCGATTCTGTCTCCGTCTCATATTTACAGGTAATCTGCTCCTGTTTTCCTGGAAGGATGTGATTTATTCTTTAATTAATTCTCTTTTGCAGGTCTAGTTTTTTTGTGACACGTTTTCTTTTCTATGTTCCAAAATATTCATCCAGCTTTATATGGAGACCATTCAAGATCTCTTAGACCCAGCAAATGATAACATTGCCATTGTCGAGGACCCAAAAACTGGAGATGTCTCCCTGCCGGGGGCTACCCATGTGGAGATCAGAAACCAGCAAAATTTCCTTGAGCTTCTAAGACTTGGGGAAACACATCGAATAGCTGCTAACACAAAATTGAACACCGAATCTTCTCGCAGCCATGCAATTCTCATGGTGAATCATCCCTTTATTTAACCTTCTGATAATCTCTTTTGTTTCACTGGCACTAGATTTATTTATGTGTCTCGTCTATATAATTGTTCTGTATTGAAGTATGACGCATAATAATTCAGGTGCATGTTAAGAGGTCAGTGGTAGAAAAAGACAATTCTATTTCTAATGAAATGGACAGCTCATCTCATTTCGTCAGACCATCAAAGCCATTAGTTCGGAGAAGCAAGCTCGTTCTAGTAGATCTTGCAGGCTCGGAACGTGTTCACAAGTCTGGTATGTGCATCTACTGTCAGATTATAGCTAGCTGGTCAAAATCTACCTTAGGGAACAATTTTACAAAGTTTTTTCTTGGCATCCTTGCCAGATATTTTCTTCATAACATTTATTTTTCCTGCAATGATTTATAACATTCCGCCCTTGAAGGATGCTTCAACTTTACATTCTTCCTGCTTTGGCAGGCAGCGAAGGGCATATGCTGGAGGAAGCTAAATCCATCAATCTCTCACTCAGTGCTCTAGGGAAGTGCATAAATGCAATAGCTGAGGATAGTGCTCATGTCCCATTTCGTGACTCAAAACTTACCCGCCTACTGAGAGATTCATTTGGTGGTAAGATATCCTTTACATCTCATCCATGTGTAAATATTTGGTGCTTTGATTTCAGAATTCCAAACAAGTTTTTCCTTGATATCATTTTTGTTATTCACATTTTTTTCGATCATTTTATGCATGGCAGGCACAGCAAGGACATCCATGATTGTGACAATTGGCCCCTCTCCACGGCACAGAGGAGAAACGACAAGCACTATACTATTTGGTCAAAGGGTGGGTTTTTGGCCACGTTACTCTTTATGTTGAGATTCAGTATCTAATCTATATGATAGTATTTAAGGAAACTTTTTGCTTACATTGTTTAAACTTTGTGCAGGCTATGAAGGTAGAAAATATGTTGAAGATAAAAGAAGAATTCGATTACAAGAGTTTATCCAAGAAACTCGAGGTCCAATTGGATAAGGTGATTGCTGAAAATGAAAGGCAACAGAAAATGTTTGACGATGAAGTGGAGAGAGTAACCCTGGAAGCACAAAATCGAATATCTGAAGTTGAAAAGAACTTTGCAGAGGCCTTGGAGGTTAGTTCAAAGCACAAAATAGAAACATTCTCTTCAGGTTTTGGGAAAAAAAGGAAAAATAAAAGAAAGGAAAAGACAAACATAGTTTCCTATTTTTGTTGTGTCCATACTATGTCTTCAGAAGGAAAAACTGAAGTGTCAAATGGAGTATATGGAGTCAGTTAAGAAGCTTGAGGAAAAGATGCTGTCTAACCAGCGAAAGCAAGAGGATGGTAAACGCAACGGGGAGGTGCTGGCTCATACTGTGATTTACTTTTCAGTGTATGGGAAAGTGACTATCTTGTACGGCTGACAGTAAAAAACTTTGCAGATGAATGGATTTGTTGCAACTAGTGAACTCACTCATCTAAAAGAAGTTCTTGAGAATGAGATGAAGTTAAGGAAGGCAGCAGAAGAGGAGCTCAACAAATTTAACAACCAGTTAACACAAAAGACAAGATCAGGGGTATCGCTCTTCCTTCTGTTGTCCTGATTAACCTTCATAGGTGATAAATAACCATACTCTCTGCTGTACTAGGAAGGTGGAGATGCTGAAATATCAAGACTGCAAAAACTTCTGGAGGATGAGGCTGTTCAGAAAAAGAAACTTGAAGAAGAGGTCACTGTATTACGAAGTCAGCTTGTGCAGCTTACTTTTGAAGCAGACCAGGTACATGACTTACAGATTTAAAGTCATTGCGGTGTAATGACTGTGCTTGCCGATTCCTTCTAAATTCAGTTGACCTGTGAAGCAACTACCTTTATATCAGATAACAGATGACACTTTACATCTAGTTACACCATTATCTTCTTTAGCATTTAGTAGTGTGTGAGAATTGAGAAATGAGTACGAGCGATATTCAACTTCATCTAGTTACTGATAGGATGGAGATGTGCGTGTATCGCGCACATACAATTGTCTTTAACCAAGTAGAAGTAATTTTGAGTCCTACTAGTCCTTAACCTCTCAACCACATTTGGTGATTCCAGATGAGAAGGTGTTTAGAGAGAGGTGGACCTACAAATTCTTATTCTGGTTCGGATTTGTTATCATCTAGACAGTCCCAGTTCAGAGAATCTATGAATGGGCAGAAGGCTCCATTTGCTACGCTCTGTGAGCAAGGTGATTGAACATGTCTGAATATGTCTGAACTGGACTGTACAGTCTCGGCCATTCCTAAATATCCCTCATCTCTTTTGCTCAAAAACAGTTGGATTGCAAAAGATCTTGCAATTACTTGAGTCAGAGGATGCGAACATAAGAATTCATGCTGTGAAAGTTGTGGCAAATCTAGCAGCTGAAGGTAACTACCAATCTATAACCCACACAGTCAAATATGCATTAGCGTTCAATTTCACAAATACTAACTTACCTTGATTGAGAAATATTACGCTATTTCTTTGGTATTGTTAAACATGCATGTTCAAGGCAGCTTGCATAACTGTGGATGAGATGGAAACAAATGTGCAACCTAGTGCTGATACTTTTATTTTATCGATTTTCCTGCTCTATCGGCGGTTTGTTATGCTAACTGACACAGACTTTCGTAGATGTTATTTTTGATAATACAAAAGGCCGTACGGTCTCACTGAAAAAATGTGATAACAGAGACAAATCAGGAAAAGATCGTTGAAGCAGGTGGTCTTACTTCGTTGTTGATGCTTCTGAGAAGCTATGAGGATGAAACTGTTCGAAGAGTAGCTGCTGGAGCAATTGCTAATCTTGCGATGAATGGTAAACAGTCACTGATGCTGAGTGAACAAAAAAGCTCTTATGTGGTGCAAAAATTGAAACATTCTATCTCATTGCTTGGGGTTTCTTATGGGTTTTGGCCTTCCGGTTGTGCGTGTACATTTATGATGGTGGTGCAGAATTGTCCACTAACACCCGCTTCTAGCTTGGAAAAGCTTTTGAAAATTTTGAATGGCAAATGATGTTGATTTTTTTTTTTATCTTTTTTCTAGATTTAATTTAAATGATTTTTGTTCTTCTTCTTTTTTAGTTTAAAATGATTTCTTTTTTTTAACACCCGGTTAACACCATGTTTATGTGTTTTATTGATCGATTCTGCCAGAAGTGAATCAACAACTTATTGTGGACCAAGGAGGAATCAGCTTGCTATCTCTGACGGCAGCGGATGCAGAGGATCCGCAGACCTTGCGCATGGTTGCTGGAGCTATTGCTAATCTCTGTGGCAATGGTAAAAAAAAATCCTTTCATATCATTTAGAGCTTTACCCTTTTGTTGAAAGAACCTCTAAACAGAAAATGAACAACAATCTACTGTGAAAAGGTTTGGCAAGAGTTGTTAGAGCCGGCAGTTGGGTTGATCTAGATGAGCAATTTGGGTGAAAAATAGGGATAATTTTTTTTTTCCCCATGGTTTTTTTTTTGTTGTGGTCGCCAACAGATAAGCTTCAAGCAAGGCTAAGGTCAGAAGGTGGGATTAAAGCGTTGTTAGGGATGGTTAGATGTGGACATCCAGATGTTCTTGCGCAGGTGGCAAGAGGAATTGCAAACTTTGCAAAGTGTGAATCAAGGGCAACCACTCAAGGTATGTATGTATGTTAAGATCCGTATTTATATATATATATATATATATATATATGGGAAAGGTAACAAACAACATGTGGAATTGATAAAGAAGATAATTGGGGTGGGTGGGAAGAAGCAGGTGTGAGAAGCGGGAGATCGGTGCTAGTGGAGGATGGGGCACTTCCATGGATAGTGCAACATGCAAATGATGAAGCAGCGCCCATCAGGCGTCATATAGAGCTGGCATTGTGCCATTTGGCACAGCATGGTAATTGTGGATTTCTTGTATATTCACGTTCATAATTCATATGTGAAAAGAATAGCAATAACAATAATAATGGTGGCAGAAGTGAACGCGAGGGACATGATAAGCGGAGGAGCACTGTGGGAGCTGGTGCGGATATCGAGGGAGTGCTCAAGAGAAGACATTAGGAATCTGGCCCACCGCACTCTCTCCTCCAGCCCCGTCTTCCGTTCCGAGATTCGCCGCCTCGGCATCCAGTTTTGACTTCTCTTTTATTATCTCATCCCCACCCACATACATATTATTCATCAGCTCCTCTTCTCTTTTCTTTTTCTTCCCCCCCCCCCCCCCCCCCACCAAAACAAACAAACAT